CCGGTACGAACGCGTACTCGCCCTCCGCTCCGTACATCTTGCTCTCGGCTGCCATTTCGATCGCCGGTGCCAGCAATGACCAGTAACTCGCGGCCGTCATCACGCCAGCAGCGAACCCCAGGCTGACATCGAGGAGCTTGCGCTGAAACGGAAACGAATCATTATAGACGTATAAGCAGCTCCCTTACTCGAAAATTTGGGTGAAGGGACTGAGAAAAGGGGACGAATCTTGCCATTTGCTTTTAATCCGTGCGATCCTTTCGAGCTATCAAGTTTAAATTTTGGAATGGAACATTCGATATTTTTTCTTTTGCAATTATTATTATTTTCTTTATAGTTTTTAGTATAGATGTATGTATATATACTTTTTAAAATCTTTAAGGTGGAATATAATTCTAAAGAGTGACAAAAAGTGACAATTGAGTCAGTATTAAAAAAGAGTGGGCTCAATTGTCAATTTTTAAGAGCGAGCGAATTTTTACTCTTTAGAGTTAGATTCTACTCCAAAGATTCTATTAGAGAATATTTATTCTGGAATTATTTTTCTAATTATTTTTATTACGCGTCTTAACTTTGGAATATTACTTACGTTTTTATTTAACATATTACTTTGTGTGAAAATTTATCTACATATATATTTAAAAAAATTTTTACGCTATTTGTATGTTTATTTTATACATGAGTTACAAAATGTTAGAATAATTGAACTAACACTATTTTAATGTAAAAAATAAACTTTAATGTTAAACAATTTTAATAAATGTTATTTAAACTAGACAAATTTTACTAACAAATTCTACTAAACTTAAAAAACACTTGGATGAAAATTCACCCAATATAAGTATTGATTAACCAGTGCGACTTCACATAATCTTTTTGTTCCTTTCTTTTCATTATTTAGTATTTATTTAAAGAAATACTATTATTTTAAAATATTTATCAGGGTCGATATTACGTGCCTTGAAATAAAAATAACGCATTGACTGACAGTTGCAGCAATAATCTAGATTTCTCTTGGAATCACGTGCATATTTGCTTTTTTTGGCCAAGGTGATCTGCAACTCTGATTTAACTTCCGTCGAGACATCAGGGGTGCGGTAGGTATTTACTTGAGATATACACACATTAGACTTATAAGAGAATATACAAAAAATGTTGTGTCAACATTTTACAAATAACTCATGTCTTATCTTGTATAATGTATATTAACGCGTATGATCGGCAGTGTCAAGTTTAATCTCTTGAATCGATCCGAAATTTACGATACCAATTAGATAATCCCTAAAGCAAATATAATGCCAAGATGTTTATCAAATGTTAACGGAAAGTTTAAAATAATCCCTTCTCGATATTTATCTCACAGTTTAAATGTACAGCACAGAAAATAATATGGATTGATTTCTGTACATTTGTATGTGTGTATATATATGTATATATGAGACAATACAAAAATTTTTACGATGACTTTTCGCCAAATTTCAACGATTTGTTATAAGAAATGCAGATTTAACTTCAAAATTGCGTAATTCGAACAAAAGAAATCGTAAAAAATTTTTTTTACTGCGCTGCAAACTGTTAGATATACGTAATTTTGAGTAACATAATAAGGTGAGATCTTTGTTAAGATACAGAACAGTAAAGATAAAAATTCTTTGAAAAACGACTAACAGTGTGTTAAAGTATAAATGTTTTAAAATGCTATTTTATCTTTAAAATGCCTTTTTATCTTTTAAAATACTTTATCTTTTTTTCCGCAATAACTTTTCACCAGTTTATGTTACGATGATCCGAAGATTGTGTAGTTTTGCGCATTTTGAGAGTGCTCTTTATTCTTTATTGAATAGTATATATATATATATACAACTACTAAATATATCATTATTTTTTACCAAAACGATAGTTAAATTTGATTCAATATTGTGTCAATTTGACACTATATAGTATCAAATTGATACTGTATAGTGTCAAATATAATCATTGTTTTAGTATAAAATAACGATATGATTGAGTAGAAGCAATACGACTCACCCGGGTGGGTTAAGTTAAATTTGACACTATAGATTTAACAGTGTACGAATTGCAATGTATGTAGATTACGCTTGCACAATTTTTTATAATATACTGTAAATAGGCTTGAGTAGAGACTAGTTAATAAGTTAAAAGTTAAATAAGAAATTAATAACTCAAAAAATAATAAATAAAAAATTAATAATTTTTAACTTAATTTAGTTAATTTTAAATAAATTTATTTTTAACTTAATCTAGTCACCTTTGAACTTTAATTTATTAACTTCTTTCTCTTTAAGTCAAAATTTTTTTGTCTCTCTAAACGATAATATTTCTTTTTTTATAAAATCTTAAACGTTAGAGAGAGAAGTTGAGAAAAAGCTTAATGATTATGTGATGGACGTGACAGATAGTGCCCAAAGATGAACATATAAGAAATTGACAAACTTTAAAGTCTACATTTAGGAAAGCTTTATCAGCGCTTTTGCTTTATTCTATTCTCTAAATCTGAATCAATGGATAGTCACTAATTACCCAGTGGCATACTTGGCACTGATAATCAGTTAAAGTTCAACTAAAAAAGAAAGAATATTTGAGCATTATATGACTAAAATACTGATACTTGTACGTTAATTTCAATCTTCTAATACCATATTCATTGAATTTAACCACTAAAACAATTAATTAGATCACATAATAAAGATTAGCTAAGTTAGAAATCTCACATTTAATTCATTGATTACCAGTGGCATACTTGGCATACTTGGCACTGATATCAGTGATTATCCACTGATTCAGATTTAGAGTGTATCTTTGTTTTATGTCTAACGAGCGATAAAAAGAGAATTACGCAATAGCGCTGCTTTCAAATGTAATCTTAGGTAGACGTAAAAGTCTGTACTTATTAATAAAAACCGACTTCATTTCAAAATTTACAAATAAAATAATAAATTTATCTGATGACTTATATTGTAATTGTTTCGTTATTTATAAAGTAATTTAATTTTTTTAAAAATTAAATTACTTTCAATTACGAAACAATTACAATAACGTAACTTTAAATGAGTTAGTTTTTTTTTCATTTATGCAACTTTTAATGTAACTAAATTAATTTTATAAGTCGTAAACTTTATTTGTTTAGTTTAAAAAAATATTAACTTATATAACTCTGACTGTAAACTACATGTATGCAAACTATACTTCATGAATCAATCTACCCTCATTAAGATAACTTCGGCAAATACGCCGCGCTGAGATTTACGCCGCAGAAGTCAGAAAAAATAGAAGGAGTGGAGGTAATTTTCTTGCAACTCCTCTGTTATATGCTTTTATGTTATATTAGTATTGAGTTATAATTTCAGCTTCTTACTGTTAATATTAATGAAATTATTGTGAGTTGAATCGATTTGTCACTGTAATAAGTAGCGCCATCATAAATTATAATCTACATAAAACGATTATTGTAGGGCGTGTAAAAGACTTAGTGATTATTTCGTGATACATACATGTAGAGAAATAGTAAAGCATGTTGTATAGCAAAATACAAGTGCTTTGCTTTCGTAGTCTTTGTTTAGTTTGTTATCTTGTATCCCATCTGCTTGTGATATACGGCATTTTTAGCGGGCGGGATTTATGCTCAAAGCATACAAAGTACGCAAATTGAATTCAGTGCACTAAATGCAATAAACGCATTACATGAAACATGTACCTCATGTCATAACGCTTGTAATATATATAGGAAGATTGTAATTATTATCTATTACTTCATATATATATTTATCATTCTTATTCCTTAATAAAACTTTATATACACGAATTTTATAAGTTATTGTGTCATTTTACGTCTTATTTATGTGCATTGTTTGTAAATTTTCCATAAGCTGTACATACCCCTCCTCCTCCTATGAGTAGCCGTATATCACACCCCCCTATGAGATATACGGCAAAAATACAAGGGTTCCAAAAAGTTCATTTTTTAATACGAAAAATAAATATATATATTTCGAATTTCTAATATTTTTTCCATAGTAGTAGACAATACAAAGTTTTTTGTATTGTCTGATATAGTTCATTTTCTTTAAACATAGTAAATAATAAATCAAGTTTTTGATAGGTGCGGCGTATATACCGGAGTTACCCTATATATTGCGAAATTCATGTAATATGAGGTATGCACATTCATTTATTACATCATATATTGTATTTATAATATGTAGTTGTTTTATGTTGGTGCTATAAAAAATTAAAATGATATAGATAAATAAAACAAAATAATTCGCTCATTTATATAGAAAATTAACAAACGATACCTTATAATAATACCAATAATAAGTATAACAAATTAAAATAAGGCCAGCATGAATTTGCAAACGCAGATGTTTAATAATTACGGTATCGCACGAACATCTGCTTTCGCAAGTTCGTATTGACCTTAACTCAATTTATTATAGTTCAGAAAATCAAACCTTGACAGTCAGTATACGTAATGTACAGGCAAAAAAATATTTTGCTGCTCCAGCTAGAATTACAGCTGTTTTTTGTATCTGATAGAAAATTATGTATCATACGCATAGAATTTATAGCACAAATCTAAATTCTATCTCTGTCATCTATATAATTAGATGCAATACATATCCAATATCGCAGTACTTGCTAGAAATTTATCTATTCCAGCTATTTTTCGTACTTAGATAATTTTCGCTGTAACTGCAAGATCACTTTTTTGGGTGTAGGATTCATTCGTTTACGCCGCAATTATTTAATTACTTTAACGGATCCACGATTTAAATCTGCTTGACAATGTAAATTTGCAAATCTTATCGTATCGTGTTCATCGAGTATTAATACGTTCCATTAAATTAGAAGCAAGATTTATTATACCATTGTGATAATGTCAGGTGAAATTTACTGATGCGGAGGATATTGAATATCAGTTGCATTTCCGTGAAAATTATAACCGATATCAGCTATACCTGCACGATATCGCAAGAGAAAATTGTATTTTGATATCTTACTATCGTATCTAGATTAGAGAATAAAGAAAAGATAAAAGTACAAAATACACTAATTAAAAAAATTAATGAAATCTAACGATGTGATTATTTCGCATCATGACGTAAAGATGACGTACAACAAAGACTTTTTTTTCGACCACTTGTTTACTAAGTGATTCTTGTTTATGAATCTAACTATTTATGTTCAACCGCTCTACGAGCAAGGTTGAGTTTCGAATTCCATTGAAAAAAGTATTACAACCTTTCTGCGACCGGCTATATGGTCAACGTAATGCTACAAATTCTTTGATTGGTCAATTCATAAAACTCTTTTTTCGAATTAATCAATCAAATGCTTTAAATTAAAGCATTCATAGTGAGATTTTTACCCAACACTGTAAATGTGGGTGACTTGGGATAAGTGTAGGTGACTTGGGACAGCATGTATTTTTGTTAAATTCAATCATGAAATCCATCCATGAGTCTCTAAAGGAAGTTTAAAACTTAAACTTAACTTAACTTCCTTTAGAGACTCATGGATGGATTCCATGATTGAATTTAACAAAAATACATGCTGTCCCAAGTCATCTACACTTGTCCCAAGTCACCCATATTTACGGTATGTTACGACATTGGAAATTCAAATTTTAACTTAAATCCGCAAGATTCCGGTTAGATTCTACGATTCCAATAAAACCCAAAAAAATCCACAAATTGTGGGTTTTTTTAAGTGGATAAAACCCAAAAAAATTCCCTAGTTTTTTTGGGATGGGTAAAATAATGCCAACCCTGATAATTAGTGCGGAGTCCTTTGATGAAGAAGTAACATTACAAATTAAATCAAATTGTTTATATACATACTAACAAAAAATTCTAATAAATATTCATGCTAACTTTTATTTGGATCGACTTACTTGTTTATACGTCGTTGTTAAGTTGCTTAAAAGCGCAGTAAAATACGGTCATTACGGCATACATTAAGCTATTATATGCTAAATTATTCAGTGTTTTATTTTTTGACGTATAACGCAGTTTTACAATATAATTTTGACCAAAATTTTTTGTTGAAAAAACCTAAGGAACCTGAAGTTTTCAAATTTCAGTAACTTTTAGTATTGCATAGTCCTCAATGCAATCTCATAAATACCCTTAAACACGCTTAAATACATGGCGGCAAATATACAGTACACAGAAATTTGTTATCGAGATCATTATAGATATGCAATTAACGTAAGGTACTTTTGCGCGGGACAAACGGACTTCGCGAAATTCTGTGTATTCTGGGGCCACTTGTTGCGAAATAATAAGTGAAGTTATCGAAGGCCATCAACCAGTTATCGAAAGTAAACTGTTGTATGCCAGACGCAATGCATTTTTAAGTATTGAAGAAAGTAGAATATTGTTTTTTCTTGATTAAATTTTATTCAAACGGCAATATTAGTATAATAGTGTACTAATAATGAGTCCATTCATTCAAGTCTAAGCTCAAGACGGATCTCCACATTAATAAGTAACGCAATTCTTTGTTAGAATCATAATTAAATAAAAAAATGACACATCTTAATATCAAGAATAAATGTTGATTCGACGGAAAATTCTAAAATTTCTAAAAACAAATAAGAATCAAGTTAGAGTCAATAATTGAGAAAGACGAAGTAGATAAAGATAGAAAAAGAAATCATCCTATTAGATAAAAAAATTAAGAAATTATTTCTTATAAGATTGCAATATAAATAACGCAATAAAAAATTTAATATTATATTAAGAATATTATATTAGAAAATTTTGAGAATAAGTTGCGTCGCAAAATAGATGTAAGATAGTAGTAAGATAGTTATAAGATAAGGTAATAATAAGTTAATTATAGGTAAAGTTAGTCGTAAGATATCACTTGTAATGAAAAACGAAATTAGCCATTGTAACTAAAGCTCTATATTAATAAAAGTAGCGCATGTATTTTATCTAAGCGAATTTTATTAAACGAGTCGACAACTACCTCTTCCTATTGGCTACTTTCCTATTGTGTTTTTCTATTAGCTATTTCGACTGCCACGACAGACTTTTTGGACCTGGCAGACTTTTGTGTTATTTTTACTAATGTAGAGCTTTAATTGTAACTTCTCGGAAGACAATAGGCATTATAATCTAATATTAAGGCTCTACGCATAATAAAAAAATATTAGAAACACAAATAAGTATTAAATATTAGAAATAAAGAATTTTAGGAATAGAAATTAAAAGTAATACAAATGCACATTGAATTTTCTCTAAATTCTTTGGAGAGAAATATTACACGAAAAAAACAACTATGGTTGCAACGACCAAAAGTTGCCCATCAATATATTTTTTGGTTACAAGAACTATAGTACGATTGTGATAACCGTAAGATTGGTATATCTTAACGGTTATGGCTGTCCATCTTACGGTTATCACAACCAAATGTATTGATAGGCGAAAATTATCATTATTTCCGATTGCGACAACCATAACATTCTTTTTGTGTACTTTAACAAAGGAAGGCTATGAACTGTTCCTCATCGATTTTTATGAAACTTGTTGAGTGTTCCCTCCTGATATATAATAATATTACTCCATTTTGACCGCGCATAACAAATTATTTTTGAAATATTAAAAATTTTTTTAATTTGTTTTTATTTCTCAAGAATTATTTTTCTATATTCAAGTAAGTAAAAATGCTTCATATTGTTTTATTACTTATTACCACATTACGTTACGTAAATGCATTCTCTGTACTTTTTAAATTTCTGAAAATGTAAGAAAAATACGATTAAATTAAGAACATAAGAAGAAGCGATTCAATATAGATTTATTTCTTATTTATTTTATACTATTTTTAGGTATTATGAGATAAAATTCGTAAAAATAAGTAAAGCATAAGGTCTTGAAACATCACAAATATGGCGCAAAAGATGCAGGCTTACATTCACATTTATTTTCATGTACATTCATAGGAAAATTAATGTCAATAACATTATTAAAAATTTTACGTTCCAAAATTAATTTTGCTTCAAGACTCCATACTTTACTTGCTTTAATAAACATGAAACACTTTTACTTATTTAAATATAGAAATAATTCTCGAGAAATAAAAACATGAATTAAAAAAAATATTTAATATATATCTCGGAAATATTATAATTTGCTATCTGCGGTTAAAACGGAGTAATATTATATCTGAAGAGAACATTTCACACTGTTCGCTAAGTTTCATAGAAATCGATGAGAGACAGTTCATAGCTTCCTCTTGTGAACAGCGAAACAGAGCCAGTCTTAAAAAAAAGAGTTGTTCAATTTTCAATTTTTAAGAGTGAGACGCTAAAAATTTTAGAATATACCTATAAATAAAAATATAAAATATATAAATATTTATATATTTATATGTTTTATATCTTATTTGTATCCATTATACATTACATTTAATCTCTATTCCTAAAATTCTTCTATTTCGATTCCAATATTTACTTTTGTACGTTTAACTTCTCTATTTTCCTAATTTTTTTATTCCTAATATTTAATATTTGTCTCCGTTCCTAATATTTCTTCCATTGTGCGCAATATATCGTTTGACAGTTGATTCAAAATTCGAGGATCACAAAATACATCACCTAAAAAACACGTATGTTTTTAGGGGAGGGGGGGGGGGAACTATTTAACATTCCAACGCAGCGTTTTCTCATTTTTTTTTCTCCCATCGTTCGACTTTTTCGTTCATACGAATCGTAAATAGGAGTGTAATCTTGTCTGAATGAGAACGTGAAAGCGCGCGACATGTACGTACAAAAGTTCGACTCTCTCTCTAACGATATATTCAACTCGTACGCGCGCGCGAATTAAATTGCATGAAGGAAGCGGCGGATTACGCGAGTCCGCCAATCGCTGTGTGCCGTCGACGATGACGGCGGTTGCGAATTCATCGAAGTAACGAATCTAAATTTAAATGTGATGAAGAATAATCCCGCTTATCTAAATAGAATTTTTGCGTTCGATCTTTTCCCTCGAGGGTGACGGTTGTTGACGAGCGAAATTCAAACATTTGCATGTGGCGAAAAAACATCAAATGACCTTTGAAATATCACTATCAAATGTTATTGATTAAAAGGTGTATTTATTTATATTTACGTGAAATTTACAAATGGAAGAAATGAAAAATATCATTGGTAGCATATATTTGCTATAGCAATACAAATTACGAAGTTGGAATAAACAGTGTTTTTCTGCATTTATGACAAAATTAAAATTCAATTAATCTTGATTTTTTAATAACCGTGCCTTTTTAAACTCTTTTACATTTAGAATAAAGGGATTAAAACGTAGAAGAGATAAATTGAATAAGTATGTTTATTATTTTTCACATTTCTCTTTATATCTCCTCTTTAAAACAAGTATCGTACAGAGAGGAGAAAAAGGTGTAAAGAGTGTTATTTAATTGAAAGACGCGCGTCAGGCTGGCGTCATGGAGCGAAAATTTACAACGGAACGGAACAGCCCGACCAATCGGAACTCTGCAATCGTTACTCTGCTTTCTTTTCTGCGATCGTGATTGGTCTTGCTGTTCCATTCCGCTGTAAATTTCCGATCATGGGACGTCATCCTCAGTCACAGAAAAGTGTACGGTGCGCAGTTGAAAACAGTGCGAATGCTCTCTTCGAAGTGAGAGTTTCGCGCACGAGCGGATGCGCCGGTAAGGTTAAGTTTCCTCCCACGGACCAGGATCGGATTCTACGCAAACGGCATTTCGAACGTAGGGAACCGGCGGGGGAGCGAATTGTCTCGGAAAAGACGAGAGTCCTTCGGTCGATACTCACTTGTTTTCCCCGAATGATGATTACGAGCGCGGCACCGGCCGCGGTGAGGGCCCACGTGAGCAGGGTTCCGAGGAGCGCCTGGGTGATCGCTGTGTGATCCTTGAGCATCGCGATCCTCCGTCACATCGGGCGGGAGAGACAGATCCTATCAACCGGTCGACCGTGTCCCGTGGCGGACTGCCGTGTGCCGACGGAATGAAACGGAGCGGGCGGGCGTAAACGAACGCGAGAGGCCGAACGGCGCGGCGCGAGATCTCCGGTCTTGCGGCACTTCAGTCCCCCGCGCTGCTTATCTCAACCACCGTGCGCACCACCGACGTACGAGCCACTACCACCGCCACGTCACCACCACCCGTTCCTATACTATCACCAACGTGCATCGTGTACGCTCGTCTCTGCTCCGCGTCGTCCCTGTCGTATCCGTCAATCGCGACTTCCGAATATCGTAGGTGCGTGCCTGCGTGGGCCGCGCATTACGTACGTTGCGTACACGCACGCGTTTTCTTTACGTCACATCTAAAGCCCGTATCATACTACAGATTAAGATTACGTATGACTAATCAGAGAAGAAAGGAAATCAATATGAAGTTTGACAAACTTTATTTTGAGAGATTGGTCAATTGCTGAATTTCAATTAAAACTCAGGCTACGGTTCACTTGATGCTAGAAATGCTTCGAAACGCTTTTTTATTCGTCAGTTAGTACAATTCTTTCTTCTGATTGGTCAGTCAAACGCTTCGAAGCGTTTGAAATGGACCGCACCCATAGAGTGTAAATGCTTCGTTGACTAATCAGAAGAAAGAATTTTACGAATTGAGATCAAATAAAGAAAGCTTCAAAGTATTAGTTTGTGTGCAGCGTGAAATGGAACATCCTCAGTCTGTAGGCTGATATAGGCTTTAGCCCGAGTCGACAATGGATTTTTAAGCTTTAAGCTATAATAAGAAATGGACGAATCACAATCAATTATTCTCCCCGCATTCGATTTTAATTAGTCAATTTCTTACGGCTTAAGGCTTAAAACACTTATTGTAAATGCGGATTTACCACACCACCAAGTTGTATCGATTTTATATGTGCTCAAAACACCCACGTTGTATCTATGTTTGCGCAATTGATTATTGACCGCTAAACACAAACTAATGGATGCTTTCCAGCAAGAGATATAGATGATACATAGCGTAACACAGTGAATCATTATGCGTCGTCTACAATACATGGAGTATGAAATAAGATTAAGAAATTGACCAATCACAATCGAATGTGAGAAGAATAATCGACTGTGATTGATCATTTTCTTACTCTTCTTACTCCGTGTATTGTAGATGACGCATTATACGAGGGTCGTCTGAAAAGTTTTGAGCCTAACATAGAAACAAGTAATTTTTCGGTCAAATTCAATTTTATTTTTCCACATAGTCTCCTTTTAAATCGATACATTTTTTCCAGAGATGCTCCCACCCCTTTAATCCATTCAAATAATACTGAGCGTCTTGCTTTGCAAAATAGGCGTCTACGGATGCGATGACCTCGTTCGATGAAAATTTCTGTCCTCCGAGCCAAACTTTGAGCCTAGGAAACAGAAAAAAGTCGCTGGGGGCCAGATCTGGTGAATACGGTGGATGGTCAATTAATTCGAACCGCAATTCGTGAATTTTTATCATGGTGACTGCTGATATTCGATTTTTTCCATTTTTACAAAAACATTGACATTGACTGGCACAAATGACTGTCAAACAACAACTAAGCGCCGGAAGTAGCTACAATTTTCGCAGGTATCTTTCAAAGTATGTACGATTATAGACCAAAATTGTTTGGCGAGTAATGCCATCTTCATGTTGAGGCTCAAAACTTTTCAGACGACCTATGTATATATTCTTGTTCGTCAATATTAAAAAAAAAGAACTGTTATGGCCCGTCTACAATACAGTAGTAAGCTTAACGACGCCTCACAGTGTATCTCTAAGCATCAATTTATAAAAAATTATTCAATATAAATATAATAACATTCAATATATTATAATTTGTTATTATATAATATATTATATAAATGTAAATAAAATATAAAATATGTTGTACACACAGGGACATAAATGCCTAGCCGTCTGAAATTGCATGCGTATTGAAGAAGGCCTGAGTTAGAAGGACTGAGAAGGTGTGAAAAGACATAACTAGACATTTATGTCTCTGTGTATACATACATGAGTATTTCCCACTTGGTGACATACGTAAATATTTTTGGAATTCCACGAAAGATAATTTTTGTGTGCGACTTGTCTTGCTTAAATGGAAAGCACTTTACCGTAACAATTAGGCTTAATCTACTGTGCAGTGTTTAATTGTGCTCATTTTAGATCTTCCTTTACCGTTTCCTTTTCCTTTTGCTGTTTATCATTTTTCATCTCTTGGCTTTTGCTTCTTATTCTGTTTCTTGGTTTTCTATCATCCGAAATAAAAATTGCCGAACTTAGGAAGAAATAAAAAAAAACGTGATAAGGATCACGATTAAATAGTCATAGCAAAGAAGAAAAAGACAAGAGATAAAGAGTAAGATACAAAAAGGGCAAAGAGCACATTGTAGATTAGGCTTTACGTTATCGATTGAAAAATAACTTAATTAATAATTTATAAAATAATTCACGAACTTAATAACTAAAATTCAAATCGCGTTTGAATCGACGAATAAATTAAGGGCGACTTTAATCAAACTCCGATTAATTTAATCAATGATTAACTCGACCGGCAAAATTGTTTAAAATCTCTAATATATAGTTCGTTGTTTTTAGTTCGTTTCATGAAACATAATTCTATTGATTGATTCAATAATTTTATTCGTATTACTTAAAATATTACTGATTAAATTAATTGAAGTTCGGTCAAAGTTGAATTCGATTCGTATCTTCCAATAATCGGCACCCAGAGTACGAATAGCGAGACGCAACGCGCATGCGCGAGAGAATAGCGCAGCCAATGAGCGCGTCCGCGCCTCTCGCGCTCGGCCAGTCGCCGCCGCGTTCGATTAATCGTACGATTGGCGCGACTTTCGTTCGTGTCGGCGCCGCGTCTCAAGGTTCATCCGCGCCGGTTATTAACGATGTCAAGGCGTTTACCTTGATCAACAATGTTCGACGGTGAAACCGCAGAACGCGGGCGTTGTCGCGACGCGTTTTGAGGCGCAGTTTTTTTTTTCGCAACGGAACGAGACTTCGCGAGACTGCTGCTATCGACCGTGAGACCACCATCTTTCCGAGCCCAGCAGTGTCCAGCAGACGACGCACGACGCACCGTCGGGCTGTCAACGTACAAACATGGCGTCCGCAACGGTAGGTATATAACGCCGTGATTCTTCCGCGCGATCGATCGCATACTGACGCCACATATTTTTTTTTTTAGTCGTACCTAACCACGAGGTATCCGATTGTCTCGTAAAACGAAAATAAGTGTCGTTTCGTTACGGAGGGGACTGGGAATAATAGTTCTAGTCGCCGATAGTGGGTGGAAGGTCGTCACTCTGACATTCGCTTGCGCACTTCCGTACGTATTCCTAGCGTACACTGTGGAAGGGTTCGTAACACGGATAATCACGCCCTTTGCGGAAGCGAATGCGGGAGTTTCTCGGGGTTCAGTTTCGTGTCTTGTTCTTTCCTTCTCTTTTTATTTCACTCGAGGAAACGGAGGTTACGCTTCGAATTAATTCACACGTCATAGTGCATATAGATTTAATCCTGGAATGCCACTCACATATTTTTCTTAAGTTAACACTACTTGGGTGGGAAAATTCATCCACATAATTAAGAATTTTTTACACTCTTTTACGTCCATGTTAGAACAATTAAACTTGACGTTATTTTTTAATGTAGAAAAGATTGAATTTTAAGCAGTCTTATTAGATATTATTTTAAGCTGCCTTAAATTTCAATAACAGAAACTATGAAATTCAAAAAGTGCATGGGTGAAAATTCACCTATACTACCCACAGTAGCAAGATAAATTGCATGGAGATAGATGCATGCTCGATACTCCTTTTATCGAATGTTCCATGATCTCATTTATAGGTACCCTTACTGATGGATGACGACACGATTGCTTTTGGAGAGGAGGAGGAGGCCCAGAATTCCAACAAACTTAAGTACAGATAATGAAGATCGTGTATCTTTTAAATGCGAGTAGGCCATACTTTTGTAAGATAAAATATTGTTTTCTGTAATTTTAGACACCCGTACGTTACGCTGTTTCACTTGGCCTTCCGGATAGCGGCTATAATAGTTTATTTGTTTTGCGGCTTGTTTTCAAATAGTTTTATAGCAAGCTTTGTAACAGTGGTACTACTTTTATCGATGGATTTTTGGACCGTTAAAAATATTACAGGAAGATTAATGGTTGGCCTTAGATGGTGGAATTATGTGGATGACGATGGCAAAAGCCATTGGATTTTTGAATCTAAAAAGGTTCGCTTATTATATAAATTTGTATGTATATTTTAATCTATATCGCTGTATGCAATATAGTGATAAAAGTCTCTAATGAGAAAGTGCCTCTTTTACATTTCCTTTAGCATTGGAGCAAGGAATTCATTTGATTCTATACTTAGATACGTAGCTTGTATCAAAATGTGTTGTTACATTTTTTGTATCACATAAGTTCCACTTGCATAGATTACATTGAAATGTAGCTTTCAATTAGCATGTATATTTTTTCATTTGTCACGTTCCAGCAAACATTGATTTAATTGGATTGGTTGTTCAAGGTTTTTCAGCTGTTATATTTTTATGCCCTTGGCACTTTCTAGAACTACTTATATATTAATCAGATTATAAGTAGACAGTCACCTAAATTCATGTTCCATTCCAGTTGCTCTTTATTGTGGTTATTTATAAAATATGTAACTTTTAAATGATTTAGATTATTTAAATATCATTTTCTTGTACATGTTTAAGTCCAATGTCTATTATGTGCCCTGTGTTTCAGGGTGCACAACAGAACCGCATTAACGCAACCGAGGCGAGAATCTTTTGGTTAGCTCTGATTTTGTGCCCATTTTTTTGGTCACTGTTATTCATTGCAGCGTTATTTGGCTTTAAATTCAAATGGCTTTTGCTCGTTTGCATTGCCATAGTTTTAAATGGTGCAAATCTGTATGGCTATGTCAAATGTAAAATGGGAAATGATCAAAATATTTCAACTGCCACAAGTGATTTCATCAGGAAACAAGTTCTTCAAAATGTATATTTTTACAAAACTAAATAATATATTTTTCCTTTATACTTAGGTATCACGTACTTATTTAAATTTATTTTACTACAGGTTACGTCAATAATGAATAGGAGTCCACCAACGAATAATTCCAATCAACCAACTAATGTTATATAAATTATGAAACATTAATATATGTGTGCGTGTCATTTAAAATTTATATTCATAATAATTTAATTTTTCTAAATGTTTGTATATAAAAATAATGTTAGACAGTATCTTTTAAGTATTATATGTATAATAAATCGTTATCAGTCTTCAGGTTCTATATTATTATTACTTGATGAAATGCTTGTTTATCTATGATCTAGTCTGTTAAACGTGGAAAGAGGCGAATATTTATATTAAAAAGAAGGAAACATCTTTTATATGTTAGTACTAGTTTATTAATGCCGCAAGGCAATACATAATGTACACGGTATTTTTTTTCTCGTCAACAGACTCTTCCTATTACACAATATTTATTTTGTATAGTTGTTAATTAGTAACATTGTATTTATCATTGTTTTTACCTCAGCCTGTTGTATTCTTTCTGGCAAGAAAGTATCACAAAATAATTTCCCATTCTTTCAACGATATTTAGTATTTGACTTATTCTTTGCATTTAAATTCATATTCTTCTTCGGATCTGCGACCGCAGTCACTTTACTGATTCATCTACAGATGAATTTGAGGCGATCTTATACACAATAACAAACTCGCTATATTGCACGGAGCTATAGTAGCCGATTGTATTTTATTATATTATCAAAACTGCTCCGAAGACACGCGCGAGTCGTAAGTTTTCAAGAAGAAGAATACAACAAACCACATATCGTTTTGCTATACATTTTAGATCATTAAAAAATTATAAAGACTAAGGGTTACTGTACTAAAATACAACATACACGAAAGTTTCAGGGAATGATACAAAAAACTTAGTGTAACATTACAATTATTATGTTATAATATAAATGTACGAATATTTTGTGGACTTCCTTGTAGCAGTAAATTTTAGTGAGTATAGATTAATGATATCAACTTATAACTAGTAGTATATTTATACAATAATTTAATTTTGTTTTTGGTAACATATTTTAGCTTGGGACTTTAAACGTGAAGCCATTAAGAAAGTTGGCAAAGTACATATGTTGATAATAATTACATTGAAATGTAATCACATAAATTTATAACTTATAAGTTTCAAATTCATAAGTTTCTCATGAAAGTTCTGCCAAGTTTAATGCTATTAAAACTTAATACGCTTTACAGTATTCTAAGAAGAATGTTTAATGGGATGAAACGCTCAATGATTTGTTACAGATGAATACTTATCATAATGATTTGAAAGTTATTCTTAGCAAAAGTCTTTTTCTCTTTTTAAGAACATTATAATAAAAACCACAGCGTGTACAGGGCGTTTGACTTTTTAAAGTTTAAGAGCTACTGGTTTCTTTCTTGAGAAATATTCCCATACCAAGAACTTACCAAAATTAGCAATTAAAATAATTTAACTTCGTGAACTTTGAACGATTAATTATACACTAATGGGATAAAATATTTCAATGTAGAAATAAGTTAATGTTATTTACAGATGAAAATTGTTCAAATATCCATTTATATATGCGGACACAGATAACTATGGTTTTGTAATCAAAATCTGATCGAGTTTGCTGCCAATTTGCGCAAATTGCTAATATTTTACTATCAGGGTATAGCCTAATGTCTTAAAACGTTTCGAATTTTGTATTTAGCATTTTCAATCGCTTGTTGTAAGAAAGCTAATAAACGTTATCCAGTCATACACCATGTATAACATTTCATTAACAATATCTTAAAGAGTGTGAGTCTTTAAATACCGATTACAATCTTTGAAATTATACACACAAAAAGATAAAAATATTAGAAAATCATTTCCTGCCATTTGAAGCTATTCGTAATTTAATTTGCTTGAAAATGTTTAGTAGCATTATATGAAGAAACTTTACTAAAACAATGTTTCTAATAAATTAAAATTATAACAGAAGTAATTATATAAAAAATATTGTATAAATATATATTTTCTTTAAAATAAAATGCTGCATGTTAAATAGCTGCTTATGATTACATTCTGAAGGCCAAATAGTAAGCCATAATAAAAAATCTGCTGCCACATTGTAGAAACACTTAACATGATAACTTAAAATGTGTCGTTAATTTGAAGTGTTATTTATGTAATGAACTCTGACGTAAGGCAAATCGTAGAATTATTTTTACAACTAGTATTATCATTACATATTATTATTACAAGTAGTACTATAATTATTACCATTACATTATAAATTATGAAAAAATGCCATGGTTGTAAATGGTTTAACAGGCAGTGAAAAATTTGATGTACACTATATAATTACGTACATTTTAATATTAATAAAGTATTTTTTAAGTACTTTTTCAAGCACAAAGAATTTATCATAGCAAACGTTATATGAGATGGCCCTCAGTTTGTTAGAAAAAAATATCACACTAAAACGAATAAGTAATTTTTTTGATAAACTAATCCGTAAAGAAACACTGCTCGAAAGCCATTATAGAAGTATATTCGTTAAAACAATGCGATAAATACATAAAAAAAATTCTACGTAAAAAAGTATTTAAACAAATATAAAATTGGAGATAACAGATATCGAGAAAATTAAATATTACAGGTGGATACAACGTACTGAGTAGATTTCTCATTTTTTGTGTTAAAACTTAACACGGTACTCTGGAAAATACCGATATCTTCTTAAACATCTTCATGTCTTTATGCACACTTGTATCTATTATGATATCTATATATATATATATATATCTATGTATATATTACGTATTATTTTATGTATATATATATTTATATATTTATATAATGTTGCTAATGACAGACGGTGCATTTATGTACATTTAGTCACAGTTCCTGACCCTCGAACCACAATAACTAACGATAAAAGGATTCGAGCAAAAATTGTATAAAATTGTGAAATAGCATTCTGTGTGGCATTACTTGTGTAGTTTCAACATATCAAAAGTATTTCGTAATAAGTGTAGAATCGTTATAGCCAAAAGAATGCCAAAAACCGGAGAAGATTTATGATCAATAAATTACTTTATTTAAATGACGTTATATTTGTTATTGTACATGTACACTTTTTTAAAAATTATTTCTAAAATGTTAGCTACAAGACATTTGCTATACCGAACAGTATCGTATAGGTTTCGAAGAAGGTGTAATCGAGCAATTATTGTCCTCGTAAACTGGAGAGCTTGCAATTTAAAATTGCAATACATTCATCCGAAGTCGTTATTACTATATAAAATGGATAATGTCACGGTAAAAGTGATTAATTGGCGCTTTTACAAAATCATATAATTCAATAGAATCATTGGTTATATTGATAAATATATCAATTATTTATTGGCGTTAAAATTAAAGCAGTCAATGCGTTTATTTTGATCAAATCAATTGATCACTAATCTTAAGAAAAAATATTCGATTGTATTATTCGCCAATATAACCAATAATTCTGTAAAATTATCAAAAATTTTATAAAATTACCAGATTAAATATTTTCACCATAACAAATATATCATGTAGCGATGTTCTTCATTGTACGTTCTTGGCATTGATCTGGCATTTGAAAAAGAAAAACTTTATATTACAAACGTCGATAATTTAATGCATAGTATGAACTCAGCGTAAATTTGATTTTAATAAGATACTCGTAAGCTAAAAAAACATTGAACTAATAATTGAATTTGTAATTATCCATTTCAATATATTCGAAAGGCAATTAGAAATATTCGAGGTAGAAGCTATGTTGGAACTTTGTACATAAGGGTATCGAGGGCTTGGGAGAACAGTACACGAATTCAACATACAGTGCTTCTATTTAAATTAGTTTTTTTTCTTCTTTTATAGAAACGTGCGCAAATTCACTTGCGCACCTTTCATTGAATAGGCACCGTTTCCTTTCATCCTTCTTTCATTCGGGTCCTTCTTTCATCCTCATTTCCCTAATGGCATCACTTAATCTATCCTTAAAACAATTTCTTATAATCTATCTAACATTATCATAATGAGAAGATCTCTACTGTTCATAGTGAGTACAGCATTAATAATTGTCAATTTGGCAGTATGGCAATTTTTTTTGTTGTGAGCGGAAATTTTCATCTCTCTCTTTCTTTATTTTATAGTGGCTAAAGAAAGTTACTTGACTGCTTTTTCGATCCATTTTTCTTTCTACATTAGTAAGTACTCGTGGAATATCCCACGTACGGTAGGTTCTTGTTTTTCACAATGTGCATTTCGTACATGCAATTGATCATGCATTTCAATACTCTGTTTCTCTCACAAACATGGATGTCGACGTCGAGACCATCTCGTTCCTCTATGTAATTCGCCTCGTTGAAGGAAGCACTCTTATCCTCAATAAATAGGAAAGATTTTGATCTTCACTGTCTCAGTTTGTAAGAGATACTATGCACAGAAAATGCACTATGTTTCGAGTAGGAGAGAGATATGGTCGATATCTTCAGTCTATCTTAAAATTAGATTTAGACGTTAAAAAATGCTTTTGCGAATGATCGACTTAATAATGGGATATGTTCCAATTCACTAATTCGCGAATATGATATCCTACGCGATGACGGTACATAATTTTGATTACATCGTCGTACTTGGCTGATTGATTCTTTGACGTAAATGCTTGGAAATTAAGAAGCATAAAAAAGAGAACATATCTACGTGACATCGTACGACACGATCGCCCGTGTAACCACGTGTATTGTACGTATTTCTAAACGGCAGTTTTAACTCGCGTCACCGCAGGGGAACTTTTAAATCTAGTTTCTAAAAAGAGATTAGCCTAAACCGAATGCTCTTCAGTACGATTCCGCACATTTACATATATCAGAAGTGAAAATTTCCGGTGCATTTGCATTTACTGCAACACCATTGACTAAACATTTCATCTCTATATTAACTGCCCACGACACTAGTAATCGCATTACTACTGTATTTGTCCTTGGAAGGTACGAGTATGTCATACGACTTTATTGTACTAGACACGTCGTATTTTTGCTCTCTCGATATCTCTCTCGACTCTTTGCCGGTCTCGTTTGTCCCTCGACAGATCCCTCTGCTCGCGAGTGTCGGCTTGTCAGTTGGCGTAATGATCGAAGGAGCCTAAATATTCCAAACTAGCCCGATAGCAGAACTGATATTGATCCTGTGACAAGAATACCGCAAATGATATTACGATTACATACACATCAACATATTGTACTTGCAAAGCATCGAAATTAGAATTTACAAACCTCGGTTTGAACCATAGCTGGACGTTGCGTGCGTAATATTCTCACAGTCTGGAATATGTCGACCACACCTTCGTACTGCATTCGCTCCAAAACGATGCTAAGCGTTATAAAGACACCCGTCCTTCCTACGCCGGCGCTGCAATGCACGGTGATCGGTCCGTCCTGGCCGAATTGCTCCTTCGTTTTGTGCACCTGTCCAATAAAGTCGATGAAACCGTCACCGGATTTCGGTACACCCTGTTCCGGCCAGTCGATGAACTGGAATTGTCTGACTGTGCGACTCGCTCCGTCGCGCGCGTCCGTCACCTTGAACTCTCGTAAAATATACTGCGGCATATTGTACTCCGCGATCGGATCCACGACGAAGCATTGATAACGAATAGATCGATCGGACGGCCAATATTGATGACATTTCTCTCTGCCCATCTCTTTCAGTTTCGTCAACATAACGACGATCGTAGAATTATGCTCCCAAAGCATACGCCAGAAATCGTCAGTAGTGTCGCATAAAGGACCTTGCGTAGCTATGTAAGCACCCCGATAGCGATATCCATCAATCAGACTCGCGTTTATGTAATCAGATCCCTCGATATTACGCTGCGGTTGTAGGCATACTCTGGTGCACTCATAAGGCAGAATATGGACCAGTCGGTTTTTGTGTTTGTTACACGGTAGATTCGCGGATATAAATCTAGTTGAATCAGCCTTGATATTGGAAAGCTTCTTGAATTCCAATTCCATTCCAGTTATATTGTCGATCTCCGGTTGCATGAGCTTCTGAATATGAGAATGTAGATTTCTGGCCGGTACTTCTGTATTGCCGCAAATCACCGCCTCCAGCAGAGCGTCGAGTCTGTACCATGTAATTCCTTTGAGCACGTAGACACGTGACGTGGCCATAAATGTCGATCATCTTCTCGTGTTTGATCCTTTCCAACATCGAGTCTATAACTATGAAACAGCCAGTTCTTCCTACGCCCGCGCTACAGTGTACCACCAATGGACCACTATCGGGTACATTGAGGGATCTAACTCTGCGCAAGAATTGCAAGAACGGTGCAGGGTGTTCTGGTACGCCATGATCAGGCCAGGCTGTGAATTGCAGCTGTTTTATCTCCCGCCGCTCGGAATAGCCAATTCGACAAACTTGGAATGTACGAATACAATAGGTCGCCAGTTCTTGAATATCGCTGATGGTCACGGTCATCTGTCCATAAGTCTCCGATCCCCTGGTAGGCCAATATTGATCGCATTTTATCCTTGTTCTCTCTTCCAACTTTGTCATCATCACGATCGTACTGGTACGTAACTCCCAACACATACGCCAAAAGTCCCCGAATGTCTCCTGCAATGGTCCTTGGGTAGCCACGTATGCATTCTGTTTTCTGTAACCGTCGCAGTAATTGGCGTTGATGTAATCGGAACCCGGCATACCATCAACTGTTTGAAGTATAACTCGCGAGTGATCGTACGCAATTACATTGGCATAACGATTCTTCGATGCATTGATTTCCATATTGGAATGGTCCCACGTGAATTGTTGGCCAGGTTCTATCGACTCGTATTCTTGACTGAACTTCAGATTGTCATTCGCTTTCAGACGTTCTATGTGATTGCCTAGTTCGCTAATAGGAATCGGCGGGTGTGAGATCATGCCAGGAGTTTGGAAATTTAATCGTCGCATTTCCACCGGGTCCGATGGTGCGTGATTGGAACTTATATCTGCTGCCATGAGTGGTCGTGTGACGGCTGCTTGATCCGGCGCTTTACATGGCTGTCTTCGTCTGAAATAATTAAGAGACAAATTTGATGTGCGTTCAATTTATCTATAAACTTTACTTTATTTATCTTTTACTAAGAAATACAACTCACTTTTTAATGACGAATAGAAGCACAAGGCAAACGCTAACCATCAATGCCGCGATTATAGGACCAACTACCCATACCATCCCTGGTTCTTGACCACTAGTTTTTACGGACACTTCCGGATTTCCGTCGGAAGGCGTGTTGGGATTCGGCCGACGTGGTGGCTCGCCGGGAGGTACTTCCCTCATGTCCAGAGATAAATATTCAGAAAACGGTGACGACGTGTATAAATGCTGAAACAAATATTTTTTCATAATTATTGATTTATACTTACAAGTCGCTTATATAAGAGTTACTCGAATCACTCCTTCCAGCTTACCTTTCGCGGAGTATCGACTACGGCTCGTACGAATATTCTGTATCGCTTATTTTTAGTGAGCTTCCGGTTTTCGTATCCCTCGTAGATGTCTCCGCTGCCTAAATGGAACGTATATGGAATGTCTCTGTGTGGAAACTTAGCTGCGATATAGGGCGCGTTTTCTCTTTCCTGCTTGGCACCTTTTCCACTGATCATATCCTCCGTCAATTCATCTGGCTGCTTATCGGCCGTGCTTTTATCCTCTGGTACAACGATGAGATAATAATGTGAGATTGGACCATACTCCTCGGAAGCTTGCGGCAGAATAACTTGAATCTCCTCGCCGTTAACCACACCGTAGAAGTCCGGCTTTACCATCGGCTTGGGCGCAGCCATCTGCGTAGTGACTGTAATCTTCGCCGGCGGTCTGTACTGACCGTCGCGCGGTACAGCGCTCACGTTGACGTTATAGGTGGTAAACGGTTGCAGTTCATTTATCGTTGTACTTGTGATTTGAGGTTCCAATAGAATCTGCCTGCGGGGCACGAGTTGCGTCTGCGTTATACCTTGAGAATCCACGAACTCTTTAACAGCATCAAATGAAACTTTGTACTTTAGTGGAGTCAGTCTTATGGGCGGAGTCCAGGAAAGAGACATCGAATGCGTTGACGAATCCGGTGCTCTGAGATTCAACGGTACGTCTTCTGGCTTCACCTTAACTGTGACTTTTTCGCTGAGTCTTCCGAGACCAGTCTTGTAACGTGCCGCTACTGTTATAGCGTACTGCGTAAACTTTTCCAGATTGATAAGATCCGCCGATTCTGTCAGACCGACGATCTTCTGCTTCCATTCATCGAGATCTTCCACGGCGGTCGTTGTGTAGAAAATCTGATAACCGACGATCTTTCCTCTGTTGGGTACTGGCTCCCACCATACCTCCACGCTGGAATCCGATGTGGCCACCGCTCTTACGGACATCGGAGCTCGGCCAATGTCCTTTTCCGTCATTATCGTGATTTTCTCGGAGTACGGACCGCTGCCTTGCGACGTGTGCGCTCGCACATGAAAGACGTATTCAGTGTTCTCCTCTAGGTTCGTGAATACCGCTCTCGTTTTAGTCGTGTTTCTATCTATAGTGGTAGAGTGATCGTTCTTTTTGTTAAACTGTACATCGTATCCGATTATTTGTCCGTTTCTGTGCTGCCGAAGCGGTTTGTCCCAGGTCACGCACACAGTGTCGGGAGTTTGAAAGAAGTACGAAAGGTTCGTTGGTGGTCCAGTTGGCTCGCCTTCCGGACTGAACCAGTACCGTACGGTCTCTTGGCCGAAACCGATGTCATTTTTGCCCGCTACTCTGAACTCGTAATCAACGCCTTGTTCTCCTATAAATTTATTTGAACGTAAATAATTATAAAATGGAACGAATTACAAGTAATTTAAAAATTATCCAGATAGATTATAATTATTATCGTAATAAGCATAAGAATTAAATCGTAAAATCCTCAATGCACTTTATTGTGAGCTGTTAGGTAAAATATCTGTTTATAATTCCAAATATTTACATTTCAATTTTACACTTGGTTTGAATCAGTGTACAATGTACATTTAATGTGCGTCAGTGCGTCAATCGAATTCGCTATTAATTTCCTTTTGATGATTAATAGCAATCTTTACATAATTCATTCATAATAAAAATCACACATTTTTTGAAAATCATATTTTTTTTAATTGTCACTTTTAAAGTAAGAGGACGATATTATTATATGGCACAAGATATTAACAATGATACATGTTAATTTTTCTCACCAAGATCCGTGATTTTGTATGTATGCTGACGCGTATCCTCGATAAATTCTTCTTTAAGCGTTTGATTCTTTATACCGTATCGAATACGGTATCCCAACAGATTACCGTAGGTTTGAGTAGGCTGGCCCCATTCAAGCTCCAAGACATCAGGGCCTCTACTCAGGACTCTGAGAAAATAATGTGCATAGAAATCGAGTCGTTTATAAAAGTACGATATTCCATGGTTTTAAATAAGCATCTCTTACTTTACGTTGACCTGTGGTCTATTTGGTACACCGCCCGGGGTCCTAACGTGTATCGGTACTGAACGGTCCCCGTCTCCTTTTCTCGTCAACGCTGCCACTTGTACCGAGTATCTCGTGTCCGGTTGCAGTCCGGTGATGTTCACTTCTAACACGCCTTCGTGCACGTCTCGACGTATCGGTTCATTCAGTAGATCTTTCCCCTGAGAAACAATTACAATTTGTATTACAAGCACTCTTCCCTATCTATCTATATACTTGCTGTTGTTTTTACCCAAGTTTTGTTCAAGAAAGATATCGTTAACAAATGTACGAATAATAGTCTCACAATATCATACTATTAATTTGTTGTTCTCAAAAATTAATTTGATTATTATATTAACCTGCGAATAGTCACGTGAGGTAATTTTTTACATCCCAGCAGAAAGAAACAATAAAATTCAATCGTTGGAACTGCCTCTCACCAATTTTGATGAGCTTTGTCTATATGGCTTCAAATATGTTGTACAACATAAAAAAATATTACTCTTGTTTTTCTAATTTGTTTAACTGATTCAGATATCGAAACTTTTGTTCTTTAACAATCCTTCGAAAATAATTTTTTTTCATTTTATCTTCGAAACTATGAGATATAAAAAAATGTTTTAGACTAAAATTTTATATTTTATACTCTTAATAACGGTATATTTACGTTCTATAAAAACGTGAATTTTTTTATTTTGCCATCATCCCCTCAGAGAAGTTATTTTGATTCCTAAAATTTGTTTATATTCTACAATATAATCAAAGTCTATTAAAATTGATAAGGCACAGTTTCGACGGTCCCCTTATCAGTCTCACAGTAGTTTTCTTTACTGATTAGAAAATGTGTACCTATTTTTTTTAAGTGTACCTATTTTCTCTTCTTTCGTTTTTATAAAATAATGAGTGAATTTATATACTAATTTCTAATATGTTAATAAATTGTGGAATAATAAATAATATTCAATATGTAATTGATAATAGTTACTTTCAATTGGGATGTAAAAATCACTCCTGGCGATCGTTTGCGCACAATGAAAAATTAGGTGATTATTCTCAAATTAAACACATACACATACGATATTTTATAAAAAATAAGCCTAGATAATTTTTTGAGATCATTTTGTGGAATGAACATTTCGTTTCGTAATAAAGTAAGAAACAAATAAAATTGAAAGAACTGATATTTTAATGACTATACTTAAATAGAATTCATATTCATAATATCTTCTTCATAAAATCTTTTTATTATGAAGTTTTCTATATATATTCGTTTTAAAAACCTTAGTACCATAATTTCATGTTACTTAAGACGTACGTCCCATTAATACTTAAATAAGGATAAAAGGACTCGGGTGATGATATTACACGTGAATAGAGAGATAGTGAAGATAAAGGATCTTATCAGTAAGTTTCGCGTAAGAACCTAAAACTTCTGACGCTACGCTATTGATCGTACAGCAGCCGCAAACTGACCTCTTCCCTCACTTCTTGCACGTGTATGTGATATCCCCGTATGACGCCGTTCTGCTCTTTTGTTTTCGGCGGCTTCCACTCGACGTGTATCGTCGTCGAGTTGATCGGCGTGACTTTGACGTCCTGAGGATCCCCCGGCACTGTAACGCAATCCATAATTAATTCGTGCACTTTACTCTCGTCCGATGTCACACTCACAGACACACGCCCATGTACACTCACAGACTTACGCGGACAGGAGATAATAAATAACGGATTTACTAAACCTGAAATAATAAATAAAATCTTTGTGTGAAATTAAAAAGAAACACGATCGAGAGAAGAGAAAGAAAAGAAATTAAATAGTATGTAAGTCACAGTCTGTCTTGTCTACCGGAAGATTATTACGTCATTATTTACATTCTAGAAGCGAACAATGTGAGAAGCAATAAGCAATAATACGTCGGTAGCGGCAAATTATTGTACCTTTATCGTAAGATAAAATGTATTTAAAGAAAGTAAAGCGAGAAGTATAATCAGTCTTTATACAATGCAAAAACATTTCCTCTACATTTCGCGACCGTCCATCCGTCGTCCAATTCGTCGCTATAAACGGAAAAAAAAAGTAGATAACAGCTAGAACGAGGTAGCAGTAAGATACAATCGAAAAAGGAAACGAAAGTACCAGCGATTGCGAGCGGTTGCAGAGAGAAATCATAAATAACATAAAGTCGCGAACGAAAGAGAAACGGTAAGATAAAAAGAAGAACAAGAAGACGAAGAAAATAGTGGAGAAGGTAATTACATGCCGCCAATCACACACGGACAAAACGACGTACAAACATTACGAGGCACGTTGTACCCCATGCTCTACGCCCCTGATACGATTACAATCCTCCATTTGAATACCAATAATGCTTTTTTTTCTCTCTTTTGTTTTTTTTTTGTCAAGAGTTCTTTTTTTTTCTTTAACCCGCGCGCATTCAGTTCGACTTTGCATATACAAGCGCGCGTAGACACGTCATACGGAAAAGTACGCGGTAACGTTGGACACGATAACATAGCAGCAATATTGGAGAGTCCATGACTTGAGAGGCCAAGTAGATAGTTAGTTGCACGCGAGTTTTCGCGAAGGGGTTGTGAGGGCAACGAGTACGTTCGCCGAGGGACGAAAGTTACGACAACGATGACGACGACCGAGTCGCGGGATCTCGTTCCTCGAATGAATGCGAGGTAGTGGCGGTAAATATATACACACATTGCCTATTTACACGTTTATTTACAACCACGATCACCGCACACAACTGTCAAAGTTAGAAAGTCGCGTTTACACAGCGTATTCGGGTTAAAAGCTTCATGACTTCTAAAGCCCGTAGATGATCAATATTATTGAATAATATTCGATATTCAATATTAATAATCGTCTGGAGGCTGTATTGAGTCTTCAGACTGTTTTGAATTGTTTAAAGGAGATATCAATAATATTGTAACAAAATAATCCTATACAGTATTCTCTACATTTTTTGGAGCGGAATCTCATTCCAAAAGAGTGAAAATACTGCCGCTATTGAAAAAGAGTGGAAATACTTCCACTCTTGAATAAGAGTGGCAGATTTTCGCTGTTTCTTTTTCAGAGTGAGATTTCATTCTTTCAGAATGAGATTCACTCCAAAGGAATAAAATCTCATTCTTTTAAAAGGAATGAGTATAGAATTTTCTAGCAACACATTGCTGTAACGTTTTAATGTTACTGTAATATTGATGGAACGTTGCAACGTTGCTGCAATACTACTGGAACGTATGGGATTATATAACAATAATATTGAGCGTCACGGGGGGCCAATTTATGTCGCGATGCCAGGACGTCAGTGTTCCGCGAGACGAGATAACTTGTTTCATGGACGGTCCAGTATTTGTCGTATTCGCTAAACGGCTAATTGGCGCGTTGTGAGAGAGAAATGGGAAACGTAAACGTGGCGAGAAAAATAAAAATCCAGATAAAAAGAAACCAGCACTGCCTAATACCTACTTCCGGTATGATATACAGGGTGTCCCAATAACTATTATCATCTGAAATATCTTCTAATCTATAAGGTGTAGAGAAAATTTGTACAACCATAATTGCACGGTATGAAGAGGGCTATTATATGGCGATAATAATTTTTTCCTAAGTGAAGGGCGCTTAAGAGATTTGAAGGTCAACTTCATTTTTTTAAATGGAATTCTATAAATTTTTTTATATAATATGATTCCCCTAATTATTCTTCATATAAAAAAAGTATTAGCAGAATAATTAGAGGAATCATATTGTGTAAAAAAATTTATATAATTCCATTTAAAAAAATGAAGTTGACCTTCAAATCTCCTAAGCGCCCTTCACTTAGGAAAAAATTATTATCGCCATATAATAGCCCCCTTCATACCGTGCAATTTTGGTTGTACAAATTTTCTCTACACCTTATAGATTAGAAGATATTTCAGGTGATAATAGTTATTGGGACACCTTGTATATAAATATATATATAACAGTAACAGCAGCTCTACGGCGGAGGGATTCGCAAAAAACGAAATTTGCGCCGCAACGAAAGTACATACAGAAAATTCCGACGCAGAAACTGAATCGTCGTAGCGCGAAGTTGATGAGAAGCAATTGGTAGATCGCGTGCTCGCTCTGCTTCTAGCTCTCGCATGTATACACAGTCAAGTAAGATCAAGATCACACTTACAACTTCGCTATGTAGCGCAAAAAACAAGGGTAGCGAGCGCGCGCAGTCGCAGCGTTATAATGTATGTAATATATATGTTCCTTAAGATTATATTATAATATATTCATTGGCTGCAGCAAAAAAAAAAAATAAGGAAAGACAAAATAACTGTAGGACGACACTTCGAGATTGGACTCTCTCAACAGACAACAAAATGAGAGTGTTATACATATGCAAAAAACGATGACAAAAATGAAAAATTAAATAAAAACAGACGGTATAGAAAAATGTCATGGCACAACTTGAGACGAGCTAAGGGATACTCACTTTTTTCAGCTGCGCCCCAAAAGTCGCCAAAAAAGTGGGAAAAAAAACTCGTAAAAATTCGTGTCAACTTCGCACGTACATTGAAAATAGAATTATAGTGTAATTTAATTAATCTTTAAGGCATATCAATGGGTAGCACTACTGATTATCATCAAAATTGACCCTCTCTATATAATAGCTATATTCTCGAATTTTACGACAAAAAAAATATATATAGATAGAGATCTCGTTATCTTTCTCTTCTTGAAACAGGCACGCGTTCGCATTCGCTCGATTCGGCTCTTTCGTTCCGACCTCATGCGCTCGATTGACAATCACACTGCTTATTTCGCAACTGCTAACGAATGTCGGTGGCAACAAGATTCATGATTCCAATCGATCGTTACATAGACCAAAAAAAAAGAATGATCGCTTGGCCCTCGGTTGCAGTTGGTCGCAGAGAGGCGGGAGACGTGAGAATATTTTTTTTTTTTTTTGGCATGCGCAATCACTACTCCAAATATGAAATAACTAAAGGCTCAATGTGTTCACCTGCCTCGTGTCGGGGGCGAGACACAAGAGCCGAATTTCTCACGTTTCTTGAAATTTGCCCGAAATCGCGGGTGACAATAACTCTTAGAGCGTCGAGATTTCGAATCCTCCCTCCTCCCTTCCTTCTTCCCCCGACACGAGACATCAAAGGGAAGACCTATGATAAAATGCCTACGAAAAGAAAGCTGTATAGATAGGAGAAACCATAAGAAAGAATAAGGTGGACGGTTTCTAGGATGTATCAAACGAGAGAATAGGTTTCGTCGGTTATTACTACGGTATTTTATAGAAATGGGCAGTCATGAGAAAAACTCGCGATTACTTTCGTGATATTTTTACGATGTAGTCAAAAAATTCACGATATAAGATCGGGATACATGTCGGTGGGGTGGAGTGTCTTCTGAGGAAAAATTGTTTTACTTTCTTCTTTTTTTTTTGCAACTCCAAAAAGTCACCCGCAAAAACAGCAGCTCGATCAAAAAATTTGTCGCTTCAGCAAAGGGGAGACAGGGTAAATTGGAGAAAGAGAAAGCGAGAGAGAAACCGAGAGAAAGAAATAGAGAGAAAGAGAGAGGGAGACAGACAGGGAGACCACTCTCCCATTTGGGATATCATAAAAAAGTACTCTGCTATTTGTCTTCCCTTCTCATCTCTCTCTTTTTTTTTTCTCCTTTTTCTCTCTTCTTTCTCTTTCTCTCAATGTCAACATCCACCCGCGCATTCATCCACGCAAAAATCACAAAATACTGCGTAAAACGCGCGCGTAAATACGTTTCGACAGCCGTTGCCGAGATGCGGTGGTAGAGGTAGCCGTTTATTTGATTAACGAATCGTGCTCGCGTACCTGTCGATGATCGAGTGTGGTCGAAACTGTCGATGACATCTAAAATGTCTAATTCAAATTGGCGGAACTAGCTGGATCGAGCTAAAGGAAACGAACTGTCATAAATCATGCGTTTTATTGGGACATAACAGTGATATAGTTTACGTGAGTAAAAAATTGGAGGAAACAATCAGGAACAATTAAACGGGCAGCCGAAGCTCTTAAGACTTTAAAACATTACGCCTACAAAAAAGAGCGTTGCTTCAACCGCTTATTAGAAATTCAGAGATATATAAAAAGGAAATAAATCACATTTACATATACAATTATAAAAAAATTAATACCTTCTCTAGATACCCATGTGAAAAAAAAAACGTGTGCGTGTTTCTCGAGATAAAAAGTAGAATATATAGAAAAAGATGCTATATATGGCATTTAAAACAGAATATTTCGTACATATCGAAGTATCATCTGAATAATAGAAAGAGTACTATGTTTCATTTATAGAGACACAGAAGTTGAAAACGGATCAGAGTCTCGCATGCAGAGAGCGAAGATATACGTAATATAGAAAATGACCGTCGAGTGATTACGTATGAAAATTAATGGGACCTGATGCTCGCAGTCTACGTATGTCCAGATTTCCCGTTTCCATCCGTACGATCAGCGCAGCATACGGTGAGTTTCTTTTTTTTTTTTATAGACAGAGCGTACTTCATCCACGCCGGATACTTTTTTTACGCACGAGCAGAAGTTGAGAGTTTCACTTTGGAGC